GAAAGAAAGAAAGAAAGAAAGAAAGAAAGAAAGAAATGAAGAAAGAAATGAAGAAAGAAATGAAGAAAGAAAGAAAAAGAGACAGAATAGATTAGATGCGGTTAGATTAAAAGAAAGAAAGAAAGAAAGAAAGAAAGAAAGAAAGAAAATAATAGCATGTGGAAACAATGCTAACAAACACAGAAAGAAAGAAAGAAAGAAAGAAATGAAGAAAGAAAGAAATGAAGAAAGAAAGAAAGAAAAAGAGACAGAATAGATTAGATGCGGTTAGATTAAAAAAAGAAAGAAAGAAAGAAAGAAAGAAAGAAAATAAAAGCATGTGGAAACAATGCTAACAAAACAAAGAAAGAAAGAAAGAAAAGAAAGAAAGAAAGAAAGAAAGAAAAAAAAAAGAAAGAAATGAAGAAAGAAAGAAATGAAGAAAAGAAAAGAAAGAAAAAAGAGACAGAATAGATTAGATGCGGTTAGATTAAAAAAGAAAGAAAGAAAGAAAGAAAGAAAGAAAAGAAAGAAAATAAAAGCATGTGGAAACAATGCTAACAAACACGGAAAGAAAGAAAGAAAGAAAGAAAGAAAGAAATGAAGAAAGAAATGAAGAAAGAAAGAAAAAGAGACAGAATAGATTAGATGCGGTTAGATTAAAAGAAAGAAAGAAAGAAAGAAAGAAAGAAAGAAAGAAAGAAAGAAAGAAAGAAATAAAAAGCATGTGGGAAACAATGCTAACAAACACGGAAAGAAAGAAAGAAAGAAAGAAAGAAAGAAAGAAAGAAAGAAAGAAATGAAGAAAAGAAATGAAGAAAGAAAAGAAAAAAAAGAGACAGAACAGATTAGATGGTTAGATTAAAAGAAAGAAAGAAAGAAAGAAAGAAAGAAAATAAAAGCATGTGGAAACAATGCTAACAAACACAGAAAGAAAGAAAGAAAGAAAGAAAGAAAGAAATGAAGAAAGAAAGAAATGAAGAAAGAAAGAAAGAAAGAAAGAGAGACAGAACAGATTAGATGCGGTTAGATTAAAAGAAAGAAAGAAAGAAAGAGATTAAAAGCATGTGGAAACAATGCTAACAAACACGGAAAGAAAGAAAGAAAGAAAGAAAGAAAGAAATGAAGAAAGAAAGAAATGAAGAAAGAAAGAAATGAAGAAAGAAAAACGACAGAACAGATTAGATGCGCTTATATTAAAAGAAAGAAAAAAAGAAAGAAAGAAAATGAAGATGAAAGCAAGAGAAAATTGAAATTGATGCATTAAAAGAGAGAATCCATTTTAGAAGGAGTTTAAAGCGTCGAACATTAAGTTAAAGAGAGAAGAAGTGAGATAGAAAATAAAGAGAGAAGAAGTGAGATAGAAAATAAAGCTAAACGAAGTGAAAAAATTAAAGGGAGAAGAAAATAGAACGGAAATAAAGATAGAATAAGAGAGAGTAAGTAGGAAGAAGAAGTGAGAAAAATAAAGAGATTATAGAGAGAGGGAGAAAATAGAGAGGGAATAAAATAGAGAGGAAAAAGATAGAAAGAACATTAACAGAGAAAAAGAGAGAAGAAGTGAGAAAGAGATCAAGTCACTGGAAAAACAATTAAAGAGAGGAGAATAGAGAGAAAAATTAAAGGGAGAAGGGAGATATAAAATAGAGAGAGAAGTGTGAGATAATATATATGATGAAGAAATATATAATGAAGGAGAAAGAGAAACGATGAAGAGAAAAGAAGAGAGAGAAAAAGAAAGGGAAAAGGAGAGAGAAAAATAAAGGGAATAAGGAGAGAGGAAAAATAAAGAGAGAAGAAGAAAGAAAAAAGAAAGAGAAAAGAAAGAAAATAAAAAGAAAAGAAAAGAGAGAAAAATAAAGAAAAAAAACGAGAGAAAATTAAAGAGAAAAAAGAAAATAAACAGAAAAAAAAAGAGAGAGAAAAATAAAAAGAAAAGAAAAAAAATAAAGAGAAAATAAGAAAGAGAAAAATAAAGAGAAAAGGAGAGAGAAAAATGAAGAGAAAAGAAAAGAAAGCAAATAAAGAGAAAAGAAGAGAAAAATAAAAGAAAAAAGAGAGTGAAAAATAAAGAGAAAAGACGAGGGAGAAAATTAAAGAGATAAAGAGAGAGAAAAATACAGAGAAAAAGAAAGAGAAAAATAAAAGGAAAATAAGAGAGAGACAAATAAAAAGAAAAGAAAAGAGAAAAATAAAGAGTGTGAAAAATAATGAGAAGAAGAAGTGACAAAGATTGGAACTTAAAGATTTTATCTGAAAAGCAGAGAAAATACCAAAGACTGAAAAGACGAAAGAAATGGCGGATATGCGGGTTAAAGATATTTTAAAATAAAGAAAGGATTTTAGCAATATTAAGAAAGTCCGAACAAGATATTAAGGAAAAAAGAAAAGAGTGAGAAAGAAGACATAGAACGAATAAAGCTAGTAGAATTAAAAGAAGAAGAAGAAGAAGAAGAAGAAGAAAAGGGTGTGAGTACAAAAAAGAAAGTGTCCTCTTCGTTGTCACTGAACCTCTTACCATCCATTTTTCTCCTGAAGAGTTATTTTTAGCTACACACCAGTTCAAGAATTTCTCGAGGCAACGTTTTTAAGCGTGTTCCGTTGTGTTTTAACTTTTATTTTGAAAACATTTGTTTTTGCTTTTTAGTTATTATTATTCCGTTTCGTGGTGTTATTCCTTCATTTTGTTTCTTTGAACTTTTCCCATTATAGAAGCCATTAGATATTTGTTCGTGCATCATTCAAGGTTTGCAAATATTAAGGGGATTAGGTATCGTATATGGGAGTGATTCAACTTCTATGTTAATGTGTTAGATGACGTGTACACATATGTACACATGTACGTGTTTTATTTTTAATTCATGTACATAACAGAATATCCTGATGTATATTTTATAACAATGTGCCTATATGTGTATATATCGTGTATATACATGTGCATATATTAGTGTAAATAAATTGTAATATTCATTGGCGACTTTAAGCTTGTCTAACTTTATGGGAACAAAATTCACACACACACACACACTTATATAGTAAGACATGTTTCATTGAAGCATTTAGACAAGTTTTGTGTACTTATTTTCAATTGGATCTTTTCATATTCACTGATAACTTTCAGATGAACACAGCAATTTTGTCTTTGAAAATGATGACCACTACACTATTTGTCTGGAATTAAACAACACCCTGATGATGACATTGTGCTATGTCGAAACTACTCGAAATAAAACAATATGTATTAATATGGCGATTTTCTTTCTTCCTTTAAAAATTACACCAAAAATTGTCACTTAATATGAAAGGATCCAATTGAAAATAAGTACACAAAACTTGTCCAAATTATTCAATGAAACATGTCTCAATATATATATATATATATATATATATATATATATATATATATATATTGATAAAAGTTTGTAATTTACATTTCATTCGTTAAGACTTCATCGGACGAAAGGCATCTCAAATAAACATTTTACATTTTGTCTTACAATTTCCTCAATACGATTCATGATATATAAAATATATATGTTACAATTTTACTGCAATTTTTTTTTTTATATATATATATATATACACTTGTATATATATATATATATATATATATATATATATATATATATATATATATATATATATGTGTGTGTGTGTGTGTGTGCGTGTGTATTGTGTGTATTTAGGCAGCATTTCATTGATGCATGTTTCATTAAATAATATAGACAAGTTTTGTCTATTTATTTTATGTAAATTCTTTTCATGTCGTCTGAGAAGCTTAATAACATTATCATTAAAAGATGAAAGAAAATCACAAAATTTATACATATTTTTTAATACTATTTAAGCATACTTACATAAGCCATTATCAAAGCTGACAATTACATTGCAATATATTCAACAATACACGGACAAAACAATAATGATAGTCTGTTTTTTTTTTACATGAAGATTTCCAAGCAACGACAAGTTCGTGCATACGAGACGCTGGAAGGAAATCGCACCTCAGCTCATGACAGCAGACAAAATCACGCGAGAGTGGTCATGTCTGGGCGTCATATTCTATATATATATATATATATATATATATATATATATATATAGGGGGAATTTTCTTACAAAGTGGGTTTTAAGTTTGAAATACATTTGGCCCAACTGTCTTAGGCTGACAGATATTTAATTACATTTTTAAAAAAGATATATATATATATATATATATATATATATATATATATATATATATATATATATATATATATCCGATGCAATGAGAACGAAAATAATATATAAATTCTAACGTTCACAGCCTTAATCCAAAAGAGGGCTCGATACCGATAATAGAGCAATAATTATCTATTAAAATTTTTTTAAATAAATAAAAACAGTTTACTCACTACAAACTTCTTTTCAGTGCATTTCGATTGCACTTCGACTTGTTCATAACTATTTTGGATCATACTAGTGGAAGTGCAATTGAAATGCGCTGAAATAAAGTTGCATCATTGTAGTGAGTCAACTGTTTTTATTTATATGAAAAAATTAATATATATATATATATAGATAGATAGATAGATAGCGAGAGAGAGAGAGAGAGAGAGAGAGAGAGATTTCTATATACAACATGTGGTACGTGCGATACCCTGCCTTCGTCAGCCGCCAAACAGGGAAGGTAACACAGTTTCGGTGGCGAAGACGGTACTGCCACCCCTGGTGTCACCAGCACTTTTTGACACCGGAAGGGCTATTGTTTTTGTGGACGTTTCAGTCTCTTGTGATTTCTTTTTACAACTGCAACTGAGATTTTCAACGTTGTCTAAAATCGTTTGCTTTTGATCGTTAACCATTACAAACGCGCTCCTAGCGACCGTTATTAATGAGTTAGAATGGAAAGTAAACAGATGCGTTTCACGTCGGAATTAGCATTTTGTTGCGAGCATGGTTTTATCTAACTTTGCTTATTTTGGATCTCGACCAGATCCAACCCGATGCCTGTTGAGCTGCGATCTGGAGACGATGTGAAGCACGCTTCAGGTTCCGACCAGTGTTGCTCACCTTCAAAAGGAAGGAAACGACTGACCGTCCAAGGAGTCCACGGAACCCGACCTCAATAGGTAGCACATGACATGTCCAACGATTCGTAGCGGTTTTTCTTTCGATTGTGCGCTTCCTCTATGTTCCCCTCCCATGGAACCGTTAATTCTACTAGGAGGACACACTTCTTTGAATCAGAACAGTCTGCAATGTCAGGTTGTGCGTCTGTCTGATGATGTGTACCGGAAATTACAGACGTGTTCTAAGATCAATTAACACCCTCCAATCATGGGCTCTACTCAGTAGTGTCATATTGGGAATTATTTGCGTTTTTCGCATAGTGTTATAGAGTAGTTTCACAGTGGAGACTTGTATTTCGTTAAGTCGGTCCTAAAATAGGTTCGACGTACAAAACGTTAGGAACTTGATATAATAGTTAATGACGCAGTAATCTAGTTGTGGTGGCTGATACTTTAATGTCCGACATCGACTGACTGAGCAATTCTTTGAGCCTCCTGGCGACTGCTACTACTCCTGCTTATTATATGTGGGAGAGTCTATTAACAATAGAATATGTGTGTTCCAGTATAACACATAGGGCGTTCACCTTCCTTGTTAAAATAGATTTTAGGTTCTTTGGTCGTTACAGGCTGTTTTTGGCTGCTTTACACGTGACAACCTCCAGCACTTTGTTATGACGCCACGGGTACATTTGCAGTGATTGTGGCCACTGTCTCGATCACTTTGACATATTGCGCATACATCGGTGTCAGTGTGCCCCCACAGCTTGAGATTGATCGTATTTAGCAGATCATAAGTAGATAGCAGGGGGAATGATATTGCCAATGGCTTCATTGCAATCTGGGTATTCCCTGATAGTATCGGATCAGTATCAGTCCATGTGGTCAGGGTTAGGGATAACCGATTGTCTGGACTGAGAAACAGCAATAGCTGCTCTTCCTCGAAATTCGTGATTTCTTCAATTTAGTCTTTGGACCCTGTTTAGAGAAAAAAAAAACTGTTTGCCCGTGCTGCCCAGGTCAACTTGATTGGTTTTTGTCACCCCAGTAATCTACTTGATTCGTAGGCTGGGTTCTGATTCTTGGGTGGTTTCAAATGTCGACCATTTGGTGCCAGTTTTGATATCAGCCCGTAACCTGTGGACAGATTCGTCGGCCAAGTCGCTCATAATATTGTGAAGGCGTACCTTCCCGAACTTAAATTCACACACCAATGAGAAGATAGGAGGTTGCAAGTTTCCGGCATTGCTATAGAGAAGCGGAAGAAGGACTCCAAGCGCAGGTATTTCTTGATACACTGTTGCCTCTGTTGAATGCGTGACAGAGTAAGATCATTCACCAGCAACGGCCACAGAAGCCAGGGCAGCAAAACCATGTTGGTATTACCAAGCCTTCAGTTTGCCGGGGAGATGGCTTCTGTCTATGGATTCAAGTCCATCTAGTGCCACTTTCTACAACTCTTTACCTCGATATCGATCAGCGGAATTTTATATAGATGTCCGAAGCTCTTCATTGGCGTCTCTTTGAATGTCGAGATTATTTCACCCCCAATGCAAAAGTAAATCGCCTTGACAGAGCCTCTGAGAAATGATAAGCTCCGGCTTTACTCGGGCTTAGCCTTCATCCTAGCCCGCGTGAAGAGCATATGATAACGTTGCATCGGCACAGACTTTAGATGGGACCAGAATGTTGATATCATCCATGAAAAGCTCTGGAAGAAGGAAGGAACATTTTTTCTTCGTAATCACTGCTATGTCCGCTTCGTCCTCTATGAACGTTATGAAAAGAAGTGGCGAAATCACACAGCCCATCATGATCTTGAGGACTTGCCATCTGGCAGTGTAGTTACCAACAGGGAACAGCATAAATGCTACTCTGAAATATTTCATGATAATTTCCCCGATCATACGAGGGAAATTAAAAAAAATACGAGGGTCATTTGAATTAACACATGAGGAACTGATCCATACGCATTCTCTAAATTACATGAAGCTCAGTTTTAGTTTGTTTGGGTGATAGGATTGAGTTCCAAATCATGTGTGAATGCTCCAGACAGCTAGGGAAGCCAGGTATTCTAACCTTCTGGAAAGCTGTTTAATGGTTACCTTGCAGGAAGTCCTCATATGACGGGCAAGCACCCCCAAAAAATTTTCCCCTCTATATTCAAGAGGTAGCTGAAGCGGAAATTTGCAATGACTTTTGCATTCTTTCCATTAGGTAACCAAATGCCAACAACCAGATGCCATTCTTGTGTATCTGTCTATATTTCTGAGATGAGGTATTATGTACATTATTTACATTATTCAGACTATTGTCCTCATCTTTGTCGCCAGATTTATTGCAACGTTTCGGCCGTTGTGCGTTCCAGCCTTCTTCAGTCCGAATAATGTAAATAATGTACTATTCTTGTGGTACAATATCTTGTTTCCATATACGCTGGAGGAGGATAGTAAGTTGCTTGAGGACGTTTGGAC